GCCATGCGGGCCCGGAGCCTCGGGAGCCGGCGCCGGGGTACGCACCCCGAGGGCTCCCGCCGCGGGGTCCACGTGGACCCTGGGCCGCGGCGGGACTGGAGCCCGCCCCCCGCGCGTGGGGGAGGGGGCGCTGCAACCGGGTTCCCCTTTTTCTGCAGCGCAAAGCCTGGGGAAGTGATTGCTCAAAGGGGGGGCCCGGAAGAACCCAGGTTTCCGCGTCTCCCGCCCCCCCTCCCCCTGGTGGGGAGGGGCCGAGGCAGGACACCCGGCCCGCCCCCGCCCCCACCCCATTGGATCTGGCAGCGGCTCAGCCCCGCGAGTCGCAGGGGAAGCGCTGCGCCCCCGACCCCAGCCGATCGAGGGCTCCCGGCGCCGGCCTGCCTCCAGAACGTCGCAGGAGTTCCTCCTGCCGTCTGACTTGAGTCGGTGCTGCTGCAGTGCACGCCCCTTCGGCAGCCAGGGTGGGGCCCAGAACGAACCTGGCCCCTTCCGCCCCCACCTGCCTTTGGGTCGCTGGTGAGTGGGAGCGCCACTGCGAGCTCCTTGAGGGAGGGGTGGAGGCGCCAGAGCCTAGAGGAAGAAGCCCCTGAAGGAGACAGACTCCTCCAGGCCAGACCCTACCAGCAGAAAGAGGGAGAGAGAGAGAAGCGGGTCACCCCACCATTGCAGGAGTGGGCTGGGGTGAGGGTCACCAGGGCTAGGAAGACCTGGCCTGCCTTGGAGGGTCCAGGCTGGGGCTCTCCCACCAGCCAGCTGGGGAGGGTGGGCAGCATGTAGGAAGGGTACTGAGTAGGATCAGGAGGAAATGGAGCCCCCGGCCACCCCCTCCTAAGGGCGACAGCATTTTTTCTGGGATTGTCACATTTTCTTATTCTTTTTTTGGACTGGCGGGCTCGGGGACGTTCTTTTTCCTTCTGTGGAGCAGAGCAGCAGCCGCTCCCGAGGGAGGCTGTGTCCCTAGAGGCCAAACTTGCTGCCTGTCCTGCCTCTTCCACCCCAGACTTGGGGCCCAAAGCCTGAAGGGGCTGGGGAGGGGAAGGAGCCCCTCTGGGGTGCCAGGGTGAGGGGCAGGGACTTTGGGTCAGACTCTGTACTCCCCAGGAGAGAGCGGGTGCCCTGGGGGCACGGGTGGCCCCAACCAGCTTGAGGTGCAGGGACAGAAGGGACTGGCCCTTCCTCTGCCCCACACTCAGCCCCAGCACCTGGGCCCTGCACCCTCAGACCGGCCCGCTCCTCCAATTCAGGGCTGGGTTGGAGACTGCAGCCGACGGGTTATAGTCTCCAGGGGTCTGGGGGCCTGAGGCCCTGCCCCCACTCACAGTGGGTGGGGTGCAGAGGAGGAAGAGCAGATCTGCCTGGGGAAGTCACAGCGTCTGGGGCACAGCTACAGACCTCAGAGGCTGCCACACCCCTTCCTTTCCCTAGAAACTTGACCCCTGAGGGAAGGCGTGCTGTGGGGCTGCTGCTTCCCCATCTGCTCGATGGGAGCCGGTGGGACCCAGTTTGAGGTCCCCCGTGACCTCAGGGGAAGCCAGGCAGGTGGTGAGGGCCAAGGCCTGAGGGGACCCTGCACTTTGCCCCCAGATTTGGTCAGGGCAGGGGCCTCTGGTGCCCAAGCCCTGGAGGCAGGGTGCCCTAAGTGTGCATAACTCGGGCGCTGTCTCCTCTGAATGCCCTCATGCTCGTCCTGGCCCCGCACCTGGCCAGAGCCCCAAGTGAGCTGGCATCCCTGCTCCAGGGGCCACCTGGCCCTGCGGTGGCTGCAGGGCCTGCCATAGCGCATCCGCCTCCACCTTCCTGCCCTGGGAGACCACGAGAGGCCAACTTGGACCAAACAGGGATTAACAGGCCACGAGCTGAGAAATGGGGGGCAGCAAGGAGGATAATGAAATGAGAAAATAAAGTAAAAGCAATTCGTGAGCCTCCTGGCCGGTGAGATATGGCGGGGGCTCAGCAAGGTCCGCGTGCCCGACGTGCAGGGGGCACCCCGGGCCCTGTGGGCCTCACCTGGGCCCAGGTGGGCGCCGACAGGGGCGGTGGTGGGGAGGCTTCAAAACCGCCTCCAGGGCGCCGACTGGCCGCCCGCCTGCCCGCCCGCGCGGACTCCGGGACCTGCGGGGGGCGCGCGGTGGCTGCTCGGCTCGGGCGTCAGCGACCCCACGCGCTTCCACCGCGGAGGGTGCCGCGCGGCCTCGGAGAAGGACGCACCCCTCGCGCCCCGCGCAGGGCCCCCCAGCTCCTACCCAGGAGCCGGACGCCCGCGCCCGCCGCCGCCCCCGCTTCCCCCATAGGCGCGCCCGCCCTGCTGCGAGGCCTCCGCGCGCGCGCCGCGGTTTCCGCAACTTGGGGGAAGGGAGGGGAGGACGGGAGACTTTGCCAGCTGGGGGTAGGGGTAGGGGCTGCCACGGGCAGCGTCCAGGACCGAGGAGCCATCTGTCCCGGGAGGCTCATGGCCCTCCTCCCCCATGCGCTGCCCCACTTCCCGCACCCTCAGGAGGTCATGCCAAAGTCCCGTTCAAATCCTCCGTGCTGCAGGCCCAGTCTGCTGCCCCTGGCCGGGGCCCAGGGAACAGGTCGGAATCCTCTGGGGCCCATAGGCCAGTCTGGACTCCTGGTGGAGAGCATCCTACCCATGTCCCCCAAACAGAAAACCTTCAGGACACTCAGGATGGAGGGAGCTGGG